TTGAATCTCAGTCTATACGTCCATTCTATTTACCAGATATTTTATGGACAAAAATTCCCTCTCGCATGTTGATGTCCCATAATTCTTTTGTTACCCACTCACTGATACTTTGGTCCCATTATAGATTTGAAATTAAATCTTATATCTTCTGTCCCACCGGGTTCATCATTTTTTGGAGACCAGAGATTCACTACAGCATTCTCGTCTCCGCAGGCGTTTCGTTGGTGGTATGATCATTCCTTTATCAGATTATCTGATTTTCAATGAGGAGGGTCTTATATCACTTTTGAGTGCCGTGCACACTTTTTGATATCCCGCTCTGGGAATACTATCATTATAGGCAAATTAGACATTTTTTTCATACACTTTTTGATTTGACATCTTCGTCCCTGATTACTTTTTTCGAGCGTACTAGCCGTGACTCTCCTAGGGGCAGGGGTCTTATTTCAGACTTGTATCGTCTTTTTTTCGGTAACTATCTATTCCTCACCCCCCTATATAGACAGAAATGGGAGGCGGATAGTGGTGTCACTTTTTCTGAAAAGGATTGTGACTCCATGGTAGATAGTATACGTAAGAGCTCTATTTCTCTTTCTGTTCGGGAGACGGCCCTCAAAGTACTAACCCGCTGGTATTATACCCCCTTCTAGGCTGAGTGTCATGTTTCCGGGGATGTCCCGTCTGTGCTTCCGAGGTTGTGGCCTAGCTGGTACCTTGGTGCACACATTTTGGGCTTGCCCAAACCTTTCTTTGGTGTGGCGCAGGGTCTCTGAAGTTGCCTCTGTTGTGGCAGGTGCATCTGTGCATCTGTCTATGCAGTCTTGCCTATTGGGAGCTCGCATCGTGGGAATACGGATGGGGGCTATGAGGCTAATCCATGCCATCTGTGTTTCTGTCCTGTGGGCCATTACCCTTCACTGGAGGCCGCCCACGGTGCCATTGATGCAGTGATGCTCATGGAGAGAATTCATTATATGTTACTGGATAGGATGCAGTTATTCGACAGAAAGTGGGAGGTTTGGAAAACCCATAGACATTTACTATCTGAATAATTAATATTTATAATTCAATTGATCGTGTTTTTTTTCTGTTGGTGTCATTATTGTTCTGCCTACCCTCTTACCTATCTTGCTCATACACTTAATTTTTATCCCTTACATGATTGTACCTTTTTGGAATGTATATTACAGATGTGCCTTGTTTCTGTTTTATATGCTATTTGATGCTGTAATGTTGTCTTTGCAGCCTATTTCATAAAAACTAATAACATCGTTTGTAAACAAAAAAAAAGCAGAATTAAACTGAACACAAATATTTAATATATTGCAGCATGTCAATTCTTCAATGTGATGACTGTCTTAGTTTCCTTTTATAGGCTTTCTTTCTTCTATTTTCTTCTGGTGATCCAGCCAGCAAGGTTGTTGTATTTCAAAAGAACAAGCTCACTAGAATGTATCAGTTTACATGGATGAGACAGATCATTTAACACTGGCAGGGGTGATTAAAATGATCACCAGGTGAAAACAGAAGGAAAAAAGCCAAAGAAACGAAAACTCATGCAGCCACAACTTCTAATGATTGGTAAACTGTGGTACAATAAATGTTTTAACTAGCTTTTATTGAGTGTATTTAGACAGATGTACATTGACAAAAGAAAATATTTTAAGGACAGGAAAATACATCCAAGGTGTAATGTCTGCCAATAACCAGAGTATATAAGAGATTACAGCAGACAAATGTAGAGAAGGAGTAGTGAGATCTACAATGAATGTATTAAATTTGTTTTGAAAAATAGCAAGTAGACTCAAATCAGACAGTAAGTCATACTATATGCCAATCATTAAAAAGGTAAAAGGGTCATTGTTGTGCTCACCCATAAAACAATTGCAATACACTATTGGGTTTGTGCCTAGAAAACTTGGCAAACGTGTCCTGCTTGTGACAATCGTACCTCAAAGTAATATATACTCAAAGTATCAAATACACCAGCACAACTGTATCAAACACCATTAAAGGAGCTATGATGTGTAATCCATTACCAAGGAAAGAAGAGAATCTGCTGTATCCTTGGTGTCTAGCCAGGGTCCCCAAATTTTTTAAACTGTACAGGATTTGACTAATTAATTTTTTTTCAAATAATTATATGCAGGGGGTCGGTAGAAAGCCAGTGGAGGGCTATTGATTTCCTAGCATAATATAACAAAATTCTCAAGAACTGTTTTGACCTAGCAGAAATATAAAGGTCCTAAAACACACCCAAACAACACACCATTTAGGGTTGCATACATTTGGGAAATCAAATACTTGGTCTAACTTTGGTCTAAAAACTTGGTCTAGAAAAGGTCTAACTTTATCACAGTACCACACCATATGCACAAAAACCCGTAATTTTCTTTGTTACACTTATGACAGAAAGGCGAGTCCCTCTTGAACACGTTAAACAAATGTTATGTGGTATAATATATTCTATAATACAAAATAAACCCGCGCCTAAACCTAATAAATAAATTAATAAGTGCTGCTGCTCATAGATGAAAAAAACAATAATTGTAAATATAACTAAACCACAGCACAAAAATTAATAAAGTAATACATAATAAATTTCATCAGATATCCTCTGAAGATATATCTCACTTTTAAGCTTGTTCGACTCTTAAGTCCATTCCATTTGGTGAGTGCAGGCCATATTGGAAGTCACGGAAGGTGTAGGCATGTTGTAGTTTTTTTCAGCACTGTTTTTTTGATTGGAGCACATTTTTTCACTATTGATTTGGGACATTGGACTTTTATTTATTAATTTTGTATATATTCACATATATTTATTTCACTGATGAAATTTATTATGTATTATTTTATTAATTTTTGTGCTGTGGCTTAGTTATATTTATAATATATTCTATGTAAATAGCGCAATTGGACAAGCTTATCTGTGACGGAGATTACCGCGGTGGAAAACAAATTAATCAGTTCTTGACAATTATCATCAGGTATGTCTGGGATGTCTGCAGCCCTGCGTGTTTGGAGTTTGGACAAGTGAGGAGAAGGCTTATTCATAAAAAAAAGAGTATAAGTACATATAAGGCATAGGTGAGCTGAGCGTTTAGTTTTGGGTTTCATACCGTTTTAAAGCTAAAGCATAAGTATAACAACCAGAAAACTAGCATTTTCAAAAGTCAAGGTCAGTTGTGGCAATACATATATTTTGTATAAAAACGTAATTCCTGCTATTCTGCCTGGAAAGTATCAATACCAGGGAGATGTCTGTTCAGCTACACCCAAAACATCATTAGTGGAAAACTGATATATTTGGACCACATGGAAAAGTATGACATGATAAACAGAGGCTCAATAACAATAGGAAAACAGAAAAAGGATGAAAACAGGAAAACAGTTGGACATGTTTTCCAGTGCACAGTAAAGTTCACCTGCCTTCAGTAAAGTGAAATGTGATTGATTGCTAGGAGTTAATCCAGTTTGAATTTCTTTATTGTTTTTTTTGGCTTGGTGAGTACTCTACATATTGTGGTGTCTATTATACACTCGGAGGCTGATTTACCAAAGGATTTGAGATTTTTCATTCTCTTCACTTCAAAAGAACAACATAGCCTTGGTAAAATTATTCATAGTATATTGACAACGAATGATTGCAGAAGCCCTGGAGGATGTGAGGGGTTCCTGGCCACACATTAAATAAAATCTATGAACACAGCATGCACTTTCATTTTATAACATCATCAGTGTAATAATAATACAAACAATACTTCACTTTTGACAAACCACTATAAACTTACTTGAAAACTCTGCTAGCCATTGTTTTCACAACTTTGTGGATTCCCTGCATGTGTGCAGCTTCTGCTGTGCTGTTTACTTTCAATCACTAAGGACTACATATCCCATGGTGCATCCCAATCAGTGATTCCTGTACTGACTCCTCCTCCTAAAGCTCCTTCCCTCATCACTTCTGTAGTGCAGAAGGCAGGCTCTGTGAAATCTGCAGTGCCTACTCACAGGGCATAGTGAATGTGCATCACAGAATTTAAGGGAGTAAATGTGTGGGGATCAAAGTAAATTTATCATTTTCAAGATCTTTCAGATTGTTCTGTATAACATCATTGTATTGAGTAGGGAGCCTTCTAATGGTTGTTAACTGCAACTGCACCCGTTTTTATTATTCCGTTAAAAAAAAAAAGAATAGTGAGTGTCTTGTTAATAAAGATTTTCCGTCTGCCACTTCACTCATTTAGCTTTCTGAAGAACACCAGTGAGGGGCTCCTCCGTTCTCCCTTTGTTACACATATGCCGTAAGTGCTTTCATTGTGTTTGTCAACATTATATACATAGCTAGATCGCATTTCAATGTATGCAATGTGATTTGTAGGTTGCTGTTTGTAAAAAATGTGTTCATTGTATGCATTTGCGAAAGACATTTTTACAAGCACATTGTAACTTCAGTTTATTTTATTGTATTGCGGTTTTACAGCACTATCCACAGAAGTAAATTCAGTTTTGGAATGAAACAATGCTGATTCTGTCAGTTTTGTTAGCTAGCGCTCAGCTAACTGTTAGTAGAACAGCACACAGATTAATAGTTGCAGGCTAGAAATAATTGAAATGATGCTAGAATTTTACATTTTGATAATAGATACACTTTAACTAAACTAACAGAATTCTATCTCTAATGACTACCTGGACTCCAGATAATCATTACCAAGACCTTGTTCTTCCCTGATCTGAAGAGCTTTGGTCACATGAGAGCTCTTGTTTAGGGAGGGGACTGTACAGAGACAGTCCTAGAGCAAACAAAATTTACCGTATTTTTCGCTCCATAAGATGCACTTTTTTCCCCCCAAAGAAGGGGGGAAAATGTCTGTACGTCTTATGGTCCGGTCATTCCGTCGTCGACACCGTGTCAGAATACCGGGCCAGCCACTCAGCTTTTCTCTGCAGCAGGACCTTACCTGTTCCTCGGTCCAGCGTTGTACAGTCTTCCTGCACCCACATCTTTAGTGTGGGCATCTGGCTGTGACAGCCGGGTGCTCACTGCGCATGCGCACCTGTCATGTGTCCCAGAAGACGCTGGGCCATTCACAAAGTGCAGCGCTTCTCACGCATGCGCAGTGGGCACCCGGCTGTCACAGCCGGGTGCCCACACTAAAGGGAGGACAACTCTGTGGAAGTGGGAGTGGGTACTTGTCAAATTCAGGTACCCACTCCCCCTCCCTCCCTAAAGGTCCACAGTGTCTGGTCATCTCCTGTACTGTCTGCAGTCTCTTGGTCATCCCCTGTACTGTCTGCAGTCTCTCTGGTCATCCCCTGTACTGTCTGTAGTCACTGGTCATCCCCTGTACTGTCTGCAGTCTCTGGTCATCCCCTGTACTGTCTGTAGTCACTGGTCATCCCCTGTACTGTCTGCAGTCTGTGGTCATCTCCTGTACTATGTCCGTAGTCTCTGGTCATCCCCTGTACTATGTCCGCAGTTTCTGGTCATCTCCTGTACTGTGTCCGCAGTCTCTGGTCATCTCCTGTACTGTGTCCGCAGTCTCTGGTCATCCCCTGTACTGTGTCCGCAGTTTCTGGTCATCCCTTGCACTGTGTCCACAGTCTCTGGTCATCCGTACTGTGTCTGCAGTCTCTGGTCATTCCCTGTACTGTCTGCTGTCTCTGGTCATCTCCTGTACTGTGTCCACAGTCTCTGGTCATCTGTACTGTGTCCACAGTTTCTAGTAATCTCCTGTACTGTGTACGTAGTCTCTGGTCATCCCCTGTACTGTGTCCACAGTTTCTAGTAATCTCCTGTACTGTGTCCGTAGTCTCTGGTCATCCCCTGTACTGTGTCCGCAATCTCTGGTCATCTCCTGTACTGTGACTGCAGTCTCTGGTCATCCCCTGTACTGTGTTCGCAATCTCTGGTCATCTGTACTATGTCCAAAGTCTCTGGTCATCTCCTGTGCTATGTCTGCAGTCTCTGGTCATCTCCTGTGCTATGTCCGCAGTCTCTGGTCATCCCCTGTACTGTGTCCGCAGTCTCTGGTCATCTCCTGTACTGTGTCCGCAGTCTTTGGTCATCTCCTGTACTATGTCTGCAGTCTCTGGTCATCTCCTGTACTATGTCTGCAGTCTCTGGTCATCTCCTGTACTGTGTCCGCAGTCTCTGGTCATCTCCTGTACTATGTCTGCAGTCCATTGGTTCAGAATTTTTTTTCTTGTTTTTTTTCTCTAAAACCTAGTCGCATCTTATGGTCAGGTGCATCTTATAGAGCAAAAAAATACGGTAGATTTACCAAGTCTTATTTACCTACCTGCTCATTTTATTGCACAAGAATACCTGTGTGGGGTGGTTGTGTACAAAAAAAACAAACAAACAAAAAAAACTAAATTAACAGACAGTCATGCAATGCACCTTTATTTTGTGGACATGGGTCTTACAATAGCTTGTAGACTAGAAATGGCTTAGCAGTGATTAATAAATAAATAAATAAATAAATAAATTGGTTGTTGTATTTTATGCACTTCATCCCCTTTCCCTGTTTCCCAGCCAGAATCCAAATATTTATTACACTAATAGGCTGAGTGGATAGTGCTATTCTTTCCTTAAGGATTACTATCATAAATATTGGTTCAAGGTTGAATCAAATGCTAGCATTTGTGTTTTGTTTATGACAAACATTTGTTAGATATTCTTTTGGGATCTAGAATTCAGCATATTAATGTTAAACTGGATCGTTTGCAGCAGTGTTTGCTACCATATGCATACATTTTTATTGCTTTTGCCATGCACATTATTTAATGTGCATGCTTCTCAAACATGTCACAAACTGATCTGATCTTATATTAAAGTGTCATTAAACCCAGACTATGAAAAACTTTAATTACATGTTATATAACAGAGTGTGCAGACTCACAAAGCCACTAAAGCAATTGTTTTGTGTAGAGTAAAATATACCAGTCTTCTGCTGTCCCTCCCATTTTCTCTTTGTCCCTATTGCAGTCTGAGATTGCGTTGACCAGCTGGTGTCCTCTACTAACCATGCTCCAGTTTTAGTCACCTTCTAGGCCGTGCTGTCCATATGTGGGCATATACACAGTAGTAAATGACACCCCCCTCCTCCTTTTCTTTCTATTGTTAAACGTTATGGGGGCTGGATATAGTATGCTGCATGACTGCATTCACTAAGAAACTAAAAAATAAAGCTTAGTTTTATATAAATCAGTATTAATTATATCAAAGGTAATTGCTAATACCTGTGTAGTGCTTACTCCTTTAGGATCTGCTGGAACTTTGCCCAGGTTCCTCCCCAGTGTGGATTTCCCTGCATCCAGGTATACAATCTCAGCCACACTTTTCCTCAATAACCAATCTAGGGGTGTTATTTCTGTTGGTTTTATTTTTGGCGAACTGTGATAGGGTTGAGGGAATTGAGAAGGGTAGTCCAAAAAAAGAAACTATGTACAAGTTGAAAACAGTGAACTCCTTTCTATAAAGCTGAAGAAGTCATTGCATACAGCAAACTGTGGACATGACTTGTAGTAGAGACAGTAAAAGCACACAAGCTTCTTCCTTTAGAGCACCAAGAGTCCCTTCACAAAGAACTAGATAGACTAAGCTCTTAGGAACCCCAGATGTTCTCTTTAGCAAACACACCACTAACTGTCTAGCACAAGAGGGGTGGCAGGAGCCAAAAAGTCTCTTACAGCAGTCTGTGCTCACAGAATGTCCAGGGACAGTTAGTTGCCTCCTTCCAACTTCCAAGCAACACCTTTCCCCAGTGATACCAGACTAGATCTTCAACAGACAGCCCCTCAGTCAGCTCTCTGAAGCTTCATCATCCAGGCCCTCAGGTCACCCACAGCAAGCACAAGGCAACAGCCCTCCTGGCTGGACTGATCATCTGCAGGAAAAGAAGAGCTCAGTTTCTCAGAGCATTTATGCAGTTACTCATCAGTCTTCAGGGCCCTGCTCCCTGGGATTGGTCAGGGGTGCATAACTATTCATAGTGCCATCTGCTACTCTCTGTTGAAAACAGTTGAAAACACCTATCTGAACTAATTAATCAGCTGTGCTGGTTAACTGGTTACAGTGAGCACATCTAAATTTACCTGACAGACACTTGCAGCCACACTGGTTGCAGCGAGGCAAGCTAAATTTACCTAACAAAAACAAACACAGATCCACTGAACACAGTGAGCACTTCTAATTAATCCTAGCACCTATCTAGGGGGGTGCTACACCTGTTAAGTAAAAAAAGTAAAAAAAAAAAAACTTTAGATGCAGATGCTGTCTGAACAAAATGAAAGCTAGTGTCAATCATCTTTGACTCCGCCTTCACCATATTAACGCACAAAAACACACATTTGTTATTTTATTTATTTCAGGTACTTATATAGCACCGTCAATTTACTCAGCTCTTTACATATATATTGTACATTCACATCAGTCCCTAATCCTCAAGGTCCCTAACTCACATTCATACATACACATAGTAGGGCCTATTTAGACAGGAGACAATTTATCGACCAGCATGTCTATGGAGTGTAGGAGGAAACCGGAGCACCCGGAGGAAACCCACTCAGGCACAGGGAGAACAAACAAACTTCAGGCAGGTGGTGCCATGGTTGGTTTTTGAACCAATGACCCTAATACTATTCAATAATGATTTATAAGGAGCTGTAAACAGTTTTGGGATACCTATAATTTAATATGAATTGCTCTTTTGAAACGATCCATTTTTTAATCATGTGACTTGCACAGCACCAATCAGGGCTGGCCACACACAGAATCACATGGTAGTGAGCATACATCAGAGCATTAGAAGCCCCTCCCACTGATTTTTTCCTGCAGGTTCTAAAGAACAGGGAAAGATCATGTGACCACACAACAGCCCTACAGGAATAGGGTACTTATAGGACTAAAAAAACAAAACAAAACAGTGTCATGATATATGTGATTTATGTGACTGAATGATGGCAATTGCCACTTCTCTGTTTAGTATCACTTTAAATCCCTTTTTCGTTAATGCATGCTGCAAGAGGCTTCTAAAACGCTCTTTTACACCAAACTTTACCAAATTAGAACTGCACTTTCAAGCTAATTAAACAAAAAAAATTGACAGATAATGTACTGTTCAATTTAGTTTATTCTTACAGGCAGTAGTCTGTGTCTGAGAGATTTTGACAGCTATTACATTTACCATATGGATAGGAAAACCTCCTGCTAGATAACAAATATTTCACTATCTCCCAAGCTGAGCCCTTCCCATATAGGGTGTAGTTAAAAAAAATAAGTACATTATTCAATATAAAAATACTGACTCAATAAAGCAAATAAAAAGAATTAACACTGTGCATAAGAATTTTCTGTTTGGCACAAGCACTGAGCTGTGAATGGGGCTGACCTCAGGCAATAAAGGCTAGTCCACTAAGCTCAGAATACAATATGCATCAGACTGCAAACCCCATGCAGGTAGTCTTAAAGCAGAATTAAACTAAAAAAAAAAATGTAACAACTGTTGACAGGTAGGGTTTTTATGACAGGCCCTATTGGTCTCTTCTGTCCTAAACCCCTCTCCCTGCCTGTCAGTGGTAATGTACACTGAGCCAAGTATGTGGCGCAAAGTAAGATAATTGAAATAAAATATTGTGAAAAGATTATTTCCTTCACTTTGCAAATATTTTAGAAGGATTGAAGGTCACTACAGCTGGAAAGGTTGATAGTAGAAACAATAGTACATTCTTAGGTATGGAACTGCTGATAGTAATGAAATATCAAATATTTAAATTTATAACATTATTTCAAGTTCTTACATTTTGTTAGCCTGCTGAAAACATAAGCAGATAACAGTATGTCCAACTTTTCAAGGCACAATCCAATCAAGTGTTCATTATTAACCACGTGAGGTCCAGAAGGTTTTAATCCTTTTATGAACAGGGCATTTCTTGGTATTCAGCACTGCACTACTTTAACTGGCAATTGCTCAGTCATGCAACACTGTACAAAATGAAATTTATATCATTTTTTGTCACATAAACAGAGCTTTCTTTTGGTTGTATTTGATCACCACTGGTTTTTTTTTTTAATTTTTTATTATATAAATATAAAAAGTCTGAAAATGTTGGAAAAAAATAATATTTTCTACTTTCTGCTATAAAACATATCCAATAATAATAAACCGAAATCAATAATCAAATTTCTTCATACATTTAGGTCAATACATGCCATCCTATTTATGTCCAGCATTAGAAGTTTATGCCACACATCACTCACTCTTCTAACCTCTGGAAGACCACGCCTTTTCTGTAACTTTTTGTTCACATGAATAAATCAGTATTTTTTGCTAGGAAACTACTTTTAACCCCATACATTATATTTTTTTTAAAGCAGACAGCCTAGTGAATAAAATGATGGGTTCTGCAATTTTTTATGTCACATAATACTTGTGCAGCGATTTTCAAACGCAAATTAAAAACAAATACACCTTTTTTACTTTTAAAAACACAATATATTGGCCAATTGTTTGGTAAGATATAAAAGATGATGATATGTCGAGTAAATAGATACCAAACATGACATGCTTTAAAACTGTGCACACCCTGTGCAATGGTGACAATGACAAACTGCATAAAATTTTAATATCCATAAGCCATTCTTTAAAAGTCTTTACAGGCTACCATGTTAGATTTACACGGGAGGTCTAGTACTAGAATTACTGCCCTCAATGTGACATTTGCGGCGATACCTCACATGCATGGTGCAACCGCTGTTTACATA